CCGAGAAACTTCATCCCGTCAAGGCTTTTTAATTTTCATTCAGAGACTAACTAGACTTTCAAACACAAAACTAGACTCAGACTGAAATCTATGCGTAGGATGTGAAATTTTAATTAGAATAAAATTTCGCATTCAGGCCCTCCGATTGAACATTGAAGATTCGCGACTTCCACTGGCATCAAAACTAAATTTCACACTAAACGAAAGTGTACATCATTCGCGATCGTGGAGGAAGACGTAACAGCTATTTTATTCTATAGAAGACTATAGAACCCTCTGACTGCGACACGGGGGTTGCAACGGGGTATCTAGAGTAGCGAACGTCGTCTTTTATTCGAGGCACGATCTTGAAATACGTCGCGTGACCGTTTCCTTTCTCCGTCGCCTTTAGGCCCCGTTAACGTAAACGTGTCTCCCGCTAACACGTACGACAGGCTGGAAGGCGAGGACGATGAAATTTTCCAGCCAGACGAGCGACGATATGGCGCGAGGTCGGTTGATTCGAAAAAGAGGCTGCTTCCGGTTCAGCTCTTTGTTTCCCTTCAACGTTATTACATTTCCATCCTACCCGACGGTGTACGCGCGTGTACGTGTTGGGGATTTTACGGGCCGAGGGTGTCGCGACGCTCGTTACAACTTTATGTTGGGCTGACGGCGTATCGAAACGGGATGCGTGCAGAGTGCACACTTCGGGACGAATTTATGGGTCGAGGGCGAAATTGAAAGAGTGCGGGCGTAGGAGAGTTATTAGAATGCAAGCGTACACGCGCGGCTCCGGCGAACTTATTCACCGGTGACAGCGTAAAACCTAGCTGCACAAGAATTTGCAACAACAACGCTTGGAATTGTGCAAATCCGAGTGGCTTGATGATTCGCACGCTCCGCGATTATTGTGTTACAGTGACGGAACAGAGATGGAAAATTTTGGGAAAAAAACTTTCTCTGCATTGTGGAACGAAAACACGAATGTCAGTCAAACGATAGTATTTTTAAAACCTGTGGAAATTGTTATTCAGAAAAATATTTGTATCCCTTCAATGAATGGTTTTAAAAGCCAACAATATTTGCGTTCAGTTTACACGAGTATAAATCATAGAACAACGAATTTAAAAGGAGAGAAACATTAAATAAAAGGGTTACACTTTTAACGCGACAATTGAACCAATACACGTATTGGTTGATACACTTGGTGTGCCGGGTCTTTCAATAATTCGCCGCAATTAAATCGCGTACCCAATGGCCAACTAAAAACTCGCACACACGATAATGCGATTATAGAAGCACGCGTTTTAGCGTAGTCGGCCTGCGAGCGTTCAAACATCGTTCGACAAATATACACCTCGTTCAGCCTAATTAATCCCGGTAAAACTGCGATTTATTTCGCAGCGTCGATGCACTTTTAGTCCTTCCCTTTTTCCCTCGATTCTACATCGTTCTTCCATTTGACGATTTTTTCCTGTTCGCGTTCGGTTCGACAAGAAAGTGCCGAAATTGTCAGTCGTCCGTCACGGTTCGTGCACGCGTCCAATCACGGTGCGAAGACGAGAATGCTTGTTCCGCGACAATATGATACCGAGTACCACTTAACAGCGCGAGTAAACACTCGACGCCTTTTATTGCATTTGCGGGCGCCAGCTATGCGAGCGTGGAAATGGTGGACGGTAGGAGAAACGAAGAGCGAACACAGGAAGGGGGTGGATAGAACGAGGGATGAAACGGGCGTAGGTCGATAGCTGGATGTCACGTTGCTACCGGGTGTCGTGTTCCCGAACACGTTAAAAAGGGGGAGCACAATGTACGCGGGACAGGGATAACCGGAATGGAATTCGACGGTGGACCGTTCGTCAATACTTTTGGTACAGGCTTCGTAATTACGAGGGTTGACGGCCCTGTTTCGACTTTTCTCGCTGAAATCCTACGGCTTTTCGCCGGCATCTCCTGCTTTACGACGCCGTCATTGAAACCGACTGCAACGAGCGCGAAAATTAAATCGTCGATCGAACGCGAGCTGTGCTTTTTCGAAAAAAAAAACCACCCTTCCCTTCGTCGCGCTGGAATAGCGGCCGCCCCGAGCGGATCCGTCGTAAAAAGCGGTAATTATCGAAGGAAACAAACGATCGGAGAATCCGTTCGAAAGAGACCGATGGCATTCGGAATTTGACAAGATCATTGAAAAAACTGGAATTCAAAGAAATCTATGTTCTTTTACTGCTGATAGGACGGATCTATAATTTTCTGTCGCTCAGAGCCATCGAATCACTGCCAGTTACTTTCCGGGGCTATAAGAAAAATCACTCGTCGCTTTATGCAATTTAAACGGAGCCGCGACAAATGGAAGGCAGCCGTTTCATTAAATTTACACCGGCCTGCAAAGGCAGCCCTTCTTTCCGCGTGACAGCGTTAAGTGGCGAGCATTGACGTCTTTAATTCCGTCCCGGGTAAAGGGAGAGCTCGAATAAAACTGCTCGTCGATAATTGCGAGGCACGGGGCTGTTGCTTTGCCTCGTTCCGCGTAAATCGAAAGACAAAACCGCTTTGAAACACACCGACTCGTTTGCTGTTCGCGCAAAGACCTCGGGATCTAGGCTGTCTGCGCGACCGGGTACACGCTTTTTCGAGTGCACACTTTCGCGTACGTGAGTCGTTTCGCGTGTCGCGGAGGTCGAGGAGAGCAAAGGCGAAGAAAGAAGGAAAAAAGAAACGGGGAAGAAGAAAAGGAGGCCGTGCCAGCCTCTGTTACTCCCCGGTACAACCACTTCACGGACTACTTCCAGACTGCAGGCACACTCGCACGGGACTTCAGAACTTTTAAGAAGCGCTTACACAACCGGATGTAGCGACTAGTTGACGTATGAATCTCTACCGTGGCTCACGTGTCACGCTGTGTCGACTTCTCTTCGAAGTTACGACCTTCCCTATCATCCCATTTTCGCCTTCTTTTCTACTTTTCGCGATATTCCCAGCTGTCGGACGACTATCTTCACACGGTATTAAATAAGCCGAGTTCGTTAGAACGGATATCACGATCCCAGAATATTCTGTTACTAAAGGCTGACTACTGTTACCGAAGAAACGAAGGGAAGCCCTTCGAATAATAGGTAACACAAGATTCGAATCTAACGAGGTTACGGATTCTTATTCGCTACTGCAAGAAAAGGTGGTTCTTGATACACTTGAAAATTCTGTTCTTTCCAAACAGAAATTACTACGGGACGAGCTATGAAAAATTCCTTCGCTCGACAAGAAATCCTGGAAGCTATTAATATTACTCGAAGACGTGGAAGCATCTTGTTACACCGGCTTCTCGCCTGTTCTTCACTTTGTTTTTTTAATCCGAGGTTCTTTAATCAACACGAAAATCTTTGTGAAACTTTAAGCGACCTCCTTATCATAATACTTCACGGCACTAGGTTAAAAAACGATGCTCTCAATTCGTCGGGGCTATACCGATCGAGACGGGAAACTCGTAGGACGCGTCCATTGCCGAAGATGTTTTAATTTGAAATCCTTTAATTAGAGAACTGCCTTCCACGGACTCTTGGATGCGCTTACTCTTTAATTGCTTTTTCTTCGATCGCTTCGCACGCTTTCCAGCTACCCCGAAAGACGTTCCAATAAAATCTCTCTTAATTGAGATTCGCGAGGTGCTTTAGCGACCGAATCCGATCGGCGAGAAAGCATTTTTCTGCCTCTGCTTACCACGCGATATTTACTTGGTATCTGTGCGAAGTAAGATATCGAGGTAAAACCTCCTAGATTAACGAGTTCATTTTTGACTCGCGTAAAACGAGAATTTTAAGGATTCAATCCTCGAAATCCAACAACTGCGTAATCGAACCGTCGTCAGATAATAGATCAACCGATGCATCGTGTAATTGCATCCGTGTGCATATGCGATGACATTCGGTCATCGTGTCTCACGGGTCACCGTTCGTATTGCATTTAAATAGAATTTTTGATACGCTGCTACGGCACTGCGAATCTACCGTAACGAGAATTAAAACGGCCTCAGCTGACGTCCCGGCCGGAAACGACTAATCAAAACCGTTCGAAAATTGAAAATTTTCGCTAATGAGTGTAAATCGTCGATAACTCGTTAATCAGCGTATATTGACAATTTGTACGGCGCGCCGTGCTCTCGGTCAAGGTGGTAAACAGCCGGTCGATTTGCCCTCGGGCAAAGTTAATTAAAAAAATTCAAAAAGCATCCGTCGGCTCGATTTAATGGCATTCTTCGTAGCGGAAAATTAAATACCGCGTGCAACGAGCATCGTGCGCGATAGGGTTTCGATAATTAAACAGCTCAGTGGACACCAATTTCGCGTGAAAAGAGAACCGACGTTCGCAATTCGTGGAACGCTATAAAGTTTCAACCCAGCTGAAAGTTTCGATTCGAAATTCCTGTCTTTGTGCGTTCTCAGGGCCAGCATGCTTTCCAATTTTTACCGTTTGTGCAGACGATTCGCAAGATTATTGAATTGTACCATACCGGATAGCTTCTCGTAAATTTATCCCATTTTTTTTTCCCCAAACGAAACGCCATCAACAGTACTATTTCCTTTTAAGCGGCGATATTGCCTGCGTTTCCTATTCGATTCGAACAGAACCGAACGACTTTGAGAATAAAAAATACCATTTTTGTTGACAAAGAAAATTGTAGGAAACATCTGATCCAATTCCAACAAACGGAATTGGAAATCGTTGGTAAACAAGTTTTAATTCGCCGGACAAACAAGAATGCGTCTAACGCTTAATTAAGTCTTTCAAATTAAAAGTGTCAATCGCAAATCTTACGCAATAACGAAAGATTTCACGGGAAACTTCGACGACGAGTAATTTAATAGCGACGTCGACGGAAGTACCGTCGCTATTACGTCGGATCGGTGATATCGCAGCTGGTATTGTTTGATATTTTCAATATTTCATTGCGATAGGAACGGTATCGCTTGTCCGCGATGTCGAGAATCACCCGGTGAAATGATACGTAAAATGGCGCTTACACAGGCTGAATCCGGAATCCTTCACGTGGATGACCACCATCGGCACCAGAACCATCACGATGAGGTTTACGACGTGGAACACCATTCCTGGCCCGTGAGCTATGATATCCTGCGGCACAAAATAGAGAGGTACAAGTTACGAGCGGAAGTTGCTTGCAGAGAGAGCTGCGTGGTAACATGAACAAGGGTGACAAGGGGGGAGAAACGGGAAACGAGTCAGCCTCGTTCTCAGGGGGTGGAGTGGACGCGACCGGTTGAAATGGTCGGAGAACCCGTGAGCTTCTCAAAATACGAAGGCCGAAACGCAGTCCGTTGAACTACCGAAAGTCGTTTATTATCCATGCGGAGGCACCGTATCCGGCTACGTGTGTTGCGAAATCCACTGCAAAACTAAACGTTCTTACCGCCGCTACGAGGCTTGCTTGTTTAAACATGGCGTGACGGGAACCGAGGTGTCCGACCGAATTCAAGACGCGTCTATTCCCTCGCACTCTATTTCACTTTTTCTTTATAATTATTTCTCACGCAATTGAAGACATGAAACCATAGAGCTCGTCGAGCTGAACACGCCTATACCCCCTTTTGAGGGCAGACGGCTAATTGTTTAAAAGATATTAACAATTACAATTAGTTACTCCTTACATTCTGAAGTATGACAAACTCACATATACAACTCGCAATCTAGAGATCCACGGTTCACATCCTTGGTTCCCAACATTTTTTTTTTTTAATGATAATTTGTCTCTTTTTGAATAACTATTACATAAAAATTATTATAAAAAAAAAAAAAAAAAAAAATGTTGGGAACCAAGGATTTGAACCGAGGACCTTCAGATTGCGAGTCATGGATCCGCTCCGTGGTTAAACACATGACTCGCAATCTAAAGGTCCTCGGTTCAAATCCTTAGTTCCCATTTTTTATTTTTTTTATTTTTTTTAAATTTTTTTTTAATGATAATTTGTCTCTTTTTGAATAATTAAAATTCTATATAATTCTAAACTAAAATTCTATATTCTATTTTGAATAACTTCATTAATAAGTGAGTGTAACACTTGGGTAGTTCTCCGTATTAAACGATCAACGAGATATTCATACGCTTTCGATAAAACGGAGCTCAGTGTTTTATAACAATATTAAATTCCATCAGCTTGCCATCAAAAGTGTTCGCGAACGAAATGAACGACCGGTCACGAATTGCCGCATTGCATTCGATGTTTAAAAAATGAATGGAGAGGATACATAAGGTATCTGCTGTTTCGAGTCCGATAAGAAATTAAACCGTTTAATTATTCAAACGCGTCGTCCGGTTGGCTTAATAAAACATCGCGTGCACGCGTGCACGATTCCTCGATGGTAACGGCCGATGGTGCAGAGAAACAAACGGCGCGACCACGATGAAACATTTTCATGCGATATAAAATATTCCGTGGCACGCTTCCGCGTTATATTTTCCAACCGAGGCCTCGACGTTTGCTTTGCCCCGTTTGCTTCCAGCTGTTTCAAAGAAGATAAAAAAAAAAAAGAAAAAGAAGGACGGCTATTCATTACGCATTCCGTATTTACGTAGCACGAAATACTCAAGATAGACAGGGAGCCGGATGTTCTGTGACAAGGACGTTAACGAAGGATCACGAGGTTTTCCTTCGAGATGGACGCGATCACGTTGATCCCTCGAATTTTCATGGGATTTTCGTGGACCGACTCGGTGATCGACGTAGCTTTACAAGGATCGTGGGCTCGTTTGTCCACCGGCGCAAACTGAACCGGCAACACAACCAGGCGAAAGCAAATATTTACCAAGCGATTGACCCAATTACGCGAGACAAAAGAATACCATGAATTTCAAGCGCGGTCCGGCAAATTGCACGGCCGAAACGTTCAGCCGCGTACACTGGTCAGCAACACGCGATTCCGTTCGTCTTCGCGGACAAAGAGGAACGAACGAGACGAGCATAACGATTCACCGTTCCGATCCTTTGATCGGCTCCAACGAACGAGGAACGGAAAGGTATTAACAGGAAATGGAATTCCGGCTGATCGAATTAATAGGACGTGTTAATCGAGACAAATGGATCTATCGGGATAATCAGGCGAGGTAAAAGCCGAGCCGATACTAGTGTCTCGTAAAACCGTGGCATTACTTACGACACGTCCGACCACTTCGCGCGGCCATTTGCATTTTAATTAATGCCACGTTTCGATATCCTTTTTTTTCCGCAGTCTTCTGGTATATTTCACGCTCGATAGCGTTTTCCAGCGTCATAGAGAGACAGATCCCTGTGGAAATTGATACGTGACCAGGCTCGGATTGAAAGTTACGCCGTCGAGAGTCGTGTTAGTTTTCAGGATTAATTCGTTCCGTATTATTCATACCCTCCCCGCTGATTATTCGTATCGTCAAATTATTCATACAACGTTGTTGCCATGCGATCGTCATCAGCCAAATTATTACTCGATTAGCGGCCGACGATTAATCAGGCTATGGTAATTATCAAGTTCAGCAAGCTGGCTGGTACTGGCTCTGTTTGTAGCAACCAGCAAATTAGCTTCCAGAAGAATGTAATTTCGACCGCTGACTCGGCTGGTACACGTATTAATTACAAGTTAAATATATCGTTCGAGAGTATACACCCTTGTGTGCATATCCGATTAAATTTCAACAAACTTTGACTACTTTGAGCGAAACACCGATTCAAGGAAATTTATACGGATCGTTGATCGAGAAGGAAATTTATCTTCCCCCTGACAGTTGCAAAGTTAATTAATGTATTTAGTTTATACAAAAATGGCCCCTGCGTCCAAAGGAGGAGACCGTATAAATTTATTCGAATACTGCTTTTCTTTTTTGTCATAGAGTTATCGTTGAAAAATTTTCCGGTCAATTTTCCATGGGATTGCACAAAGTTCAGGCGCACAGACGTGGATTTCTATGGCGCTGATCGATGCACGTCGCGGTCCCCTGCGGTACGAAGTCAGCACGAGCAATGTTTACGCTGACACGATACCGCACGGTAGACGTGTATTTACGTCACCGCCGAAGGGAATATACGATATAACATATATAGACGTTAGCTCGAACATTGCTAATTCGCGTCGACGCGGAGGAGATCCACGTTTTCCAACATGATCGTCGTGGTACGCCGATCATCAAATCCCATGCGCGCATTTCATCGGCTGGTTTGACCATCTTTATGGCGTTACGATAAGAGAAGGAGGACAGATTCCGCGTTAAGCTCGCCATTATCGGTTCAGATAAAGTTTCGTCCTCGTACACGACACCCTGTATCCTCCTGTCCTCCACTGGGAAAAATACCGTCGCTCTTATCTCCCCGACGAAGACCCTTCGAACAACCAATTGATTTGACAGCGAATCCTACGTTATCAATTTTATTTGTAATCCATTACGCTTTTCAATTTATACCGATTAGAATTTCCTTCGATAGCTTGGAGAATGGAATTTTCAGTAAAATAATTTTCGACGGTGGATTAATTGTTAACCAAACTATGGGTTCACGGGCAATAAACACGGTTTATTCTTTCCACCGGAGTTTCAATATTTTCTAGGTGCCCAAAGTTCAACAGGGAGCTAAAGGCAGAATACACAATGTTATTCCAATCAAATCCAATAAAACGTTCCCGAAAAGCACTGTGTATGTTTTTTTGCACCGTTCAAACGATTCGGTATTAAATGCAAGCGTTCGCTTTTTTTTTTTTATTGATTTGGAGGGTTTCAAAAATTCCGTTTTTCGAACCGATTATACGTCGAGCAGAAGCTCTAATTCGGCAGGAAAAATTATTTTCTGAGGGTAAAAACTCTGCAGCAAGTCAATTTCAGGTTCGCAAAATCCATTAAGTGACATGTGCAGAAACCTTGTGCGTTACTTTAGAAAGGCGAGGGTCGTAAACTCATAAAGCCTCAAAATTACTGACCAGAAAATTGGCTTCGCGTTGAAGGGATCGTAAAGGAAAAATTTAATTTCTAAAAAGTAAATAGCTAGGTCTCCCTTTACTTTACGACTTCCACAAAGGTTGATGGTACGCGTGAACGTTTCACGATGGATTCGCGAAAGGACGCAAAAAGAGACGCGTTCGAATCAGAAGCAGGTTTCCTAGCGTGACGAGAAAAATGTAACAACCTTTGCTTCTTCTCGTTCGCCCATTTTGACCCGTGGCCGCGTAAAGTACCCGCTGGCTACGTCATATGTCCGACATATTATTATTAGTTTAGTTTAGCCGCGTGCTTCTTGGCCGGCGGAACAACGGGGAGAAAAAAGGACAGGCGAAAGGGTGAAAAATATTTCTGCAACTTTTCGTTTCGTTCTCTCCCGCGTTAACGTCCCGCGACGTAGCTCTTCTTTCGACACCGCGTTCGCACGGTTTTACCTCTTTCCCGCGCTGCTTAGCGGTGGTAGGAAAAAATGTGCAAAATTTTACTGGACGCGAGAAAGTTTTTTAATATCCTCCCGCCCTTGTGTTACGAGTATTACATGGCGCAGGGAATACACGTTCTGGCGATAAACGCATGTCGACGAGGATTTTACAAAATGCAGCTACTCACCGCGGACAGTCCCTTTTCGATCAGCAAACACAGTACAACGGGGACGTTGGAATCTGAAACAGAGAAAAAGTAAAATAAAAATTAACAAAATTCCATAGATCTTTCTCTGGTGGGTGAATAACGAATTTCTAAAAAGGCCAGTCACCGAAAGCTCGTTCTCTGTACAATTGCAAGAATCGAGTGACGAGGCTCGGCGACGCAATGTCACGTTGCAAAAGGCAATCGAAAAGTAAGGGAAGAGGGTGCGAAACAGGGAAAGAGAAACGAACGGAAGGAAAAAGAGAGCGGCGTGCGGCGAAGGCTGTACAGGGAGGATAAACGCTACTGGTGATCGAGAGCTTCGCTCGAATGGCCGGGGTGGATAACGCATACACAGGAAAAAGAAGAGAAAGGGAAAAACCGATATCGAGGCAGCAACGACGAAAGCAACTCACCGATAAATCAGCCAAAATAGCGCTCGCTACAAAACGGAAGTTCGATTGAACGTCGTATACCTACGAGTTCGCGTAAAGGACCGAACTCGTTGAAAACGATAACAGCTTTTGGCGTATCTCCTTTGATTTAGCAAGCAATAAAGATATCGATATCATTCGTCTATATACCGATCGAATGATTACTGAGAAAAAGGAACACGAGAACCGACAAACGTGATTTTACGTTTTTATTAGGCCTAATTTTCTAAATATTTTCCGTCCATCAATATTTCCCGAAAAGTTGTTTTAAGTATAAATTCTGACTTCAAATATTATCTATTATCAAATAAAAAAATTTGAAAAATTTGATTTTTCGACCCCAAAAATGTCCATTTTCCTAAATGTCTGACTAATGACCGACTATACTACTGATTTCAGGTTTTCCATGCACAGTAAAATATTCTGCGTTTTAATTCTTAGATTTTTAACTTCACAGGAAGTTTGCAACTTCGATTCCTATTTTCACATGTCTCCACCAGGATCCTTGACAAAGTGGAAAAAACTTACACGATAGAAAACATGGTTTCAGGTAGAATCTTACAAACTACCCGAGTTAAATCCTAAGCGAAAGCAGTCTTTCCACGCGAATCGCTATCGAAACGTTCGTACAATACGAATTTTACTCCGCGACGATCGTTCCTTTGTCCAAACCGTCTCCAGAATCCATGGAGCCAAAACACTTCGGTAGATTACGCGGGTATCAACGCGGACGAGCGCGATAGCGCAGGTACAGAAATCGCGTACGATTTCATTTCGGGCTGTTCGTCCTGGTATTCTTCGAAGTGTCGACCGTCCCCTCGTTCCGAGTACAGATAAAATATGGCGAAACTTAAATAAGTTTAGGAGATGCAACCGTACGATAGGCACACTCGAGAAATTGAGAGTCGCATGATCCTAACTGGAAACGGGTCACGAACCGCAAACACACGAACGTTTGAAAATGAAAGCGTCCGTCAAGAATATCAACGTGAAATTAAACCGAGACGTTTTAATTACGATAAGAGGTATATTATGACTTATCATTCTTGTTCGTTCGGGATAGTTAACCATTGAGGCTCGCATATCTACGATGGTGCACTGGCAAATTTCAGGATATAATTTGTGTACGAAAATTAAACGAATAGAAAATTGCAATCAAATTCTTTTTAAAAAATACCAGCTATCTATTCGATTCGTGTTTGAGTCGGGAATTTGTTCAGGGTTTGGACGGAGCTCCAAAAATTTGACCAGTATATAAATTGGTTCGAGTACCCGAATTTTTTATCCCTAAAACACTTTTACTGCAATATTTATTTAAATAGTACAAAATGAAGAAAAGTTGAGTCGATGGATGATGCACATGACCGGATAGATGAAATTAGTGGCAATTAGTGAATTTCCAGCAGAAAATGAGCTCAAACTGTGGAATGCAAAATTCCCCGTCATTTTACAGGCAAATTGACGTCCATGCGATATCAGCCGCGATCGAATTCACGCGGAAACTAACAGCAAACGTCAAAGGAGTGACGTTTGAAAATTGAAAGAGCACATGACCGGTGAGAACGTGAAACGAGTAATATCTCCGATAAACTTTCCTCGATTTTCGTTTAATGATTTGCGCCCAGTGATCGAGAACTCCGTTGTGCAATATTTCCCTGAACAAAGAATCGTTCGATTTCGTTATGATTTCCGTGGTTTAAATAAAAGATTCCGGCGTGCCAATTACCTCTGCTGCAATTTTTCAAGGTATCCATTTCGTAACGATCCGAATGGTCGAAAAGAACGTCGAAATCAGCGAGAATTCAAAAATGCAATCGTTAGACCGAATGATACGCATTCTTCCACCCTCGATATTTGATTCAGTTGGATACAATTAAACGTGACAATGGACGGTGCCACGCATACGGAAGATTTCCCGGGCTCTATAGCGTCAAATATTCCGTTAATAGAGTTTACCAGCGTTTTGGTTAAAAAGAAACTCGAGACCGGCCGTGTTCGGGTTGGACAAAGCTGGGAGAAAAAGCACGGAGGAGAGGGCACGCGATTGTTTCGCAACGGGCCACTGGCACACGTGTTCACCACGACTAATTACCAGCTCTTTGAATTCGAACGCGTTTCCCGAGTTTCCAGCATTTTTTCCGACCGATTCGAACGACCGCTCGCTTTCACCGCGCTGAATTACGCGCACGTGCGCCACCGACGCGACGAACGAAGACAAATAGGATTGATCAACGAATCAAATGCGTCGCATTAAGCAACTGGACAGGTAAAAAATTTGGTAATTATAGAACTGTCGATTAACGGAATAAATAGCGTTCACGTGTCTCGATATATCTCGTCGGGAGCGGCGGGCAAACCGTGCGACTGCGAGGGGGTGTAAATTTCCATTGGAATGGTTGTTAATTAAATTCGTCGAAATTATCACCGGTCCGGCTTTTCTGTAAAAAATCTGCCACTATTTTTTCCGTTGAATCGCGAACAGGTTTAGTAACTTTGTTGTCCATGGTAAAAGTCGCGATTTACTGGCACGCACCTTTAAGGTCGATGGGTATAACCGAGGCAAATTAGCATGGAAATTGACGCGTCAATTCGAAACAGCCACCGATCGAAATTCATTCGTTATCGAGTCGTGCATCGACGGGAAGTTTAAGCGACAGCCTTATTTGAATACGCATCGAAGTTTCGCCCGTCTGGACATCCTCCTAATCAAGCGGATAATTCGAGAAACGTATTGGTCAGGTGACACTGACGTATATGGCCAGCTTTCAAATGAGAACAAACGATTGTTCATATTTTAGAATAATCGGAATCCCTTCTTCCGACCCTTTTTACCGTCCGCTGTTCCTGGCATTACGGAAAGGGCTGACGATACAGAGAAAAAACAAATTTAACTGACGTCGAGCACGGCTTGCTAATAGATATTAATGGAAAGCCCATTCTCGCTCCGAAAATATGCATTTAAGTTAAAATTTCGTTTTAATTTTTCTCTTTGCAACATTATAAGACACGTTCACAAAGCAGTTTTTTCTTTAATCATCAACACGGGACACGAATTTATCTCGTCCGTGGTGCGTCGTATTTTCCCTCGCAATTTGGCAAGCGTCGTTCTTCGACACCTTTTGTTGTCACATCGCAACAACGCTGATAAAATCAAATTTTATCCCCCGCTAGAAATAAGCTCGCGCCCCTGCTATTCGTTATTTTAATGAACAATCGCGTTCGACGGTAAATAAACCAGCGAACGCGTGCAGGGGAACAAAATGCGGCACGTATCGATTTACCGAATCATTTGAATAGAACTATGTACACTGAGAAAGAAGCAATATTTCAACAGCAAGCAAACATTAACGGGCATTAATCCGTTTCAATAACGTTTCGTAATTAAATATATTAAATGTTGCTTCGGAAAAGAACCATTATATAAAACAACAATGTGGCAGTAAATTTCAATTGGAACATTTACTCGTAACTCGCAATTGAAACTGTTCGCAATTTAAGAGGGACAAATAAACTGAAAATAATATAACTGGATTATATTTCCGTGTTGCAAAATCTCAAAGAGTTCACACCTACCCTTTACTGGATATATTTTCATTTACAACCAGTGTAAAATCGAATGGTTTTTGACATTCTGCATCTTCGAGTCATCATCGGTGAAAAGTTTCGAGCGTTTCAGGTGTTAAAATTCCTCCGTGAATTTCCTAATGAGCTACGGTAGTTTGCTCCCTAACGAACCGACCGTCGTATTAACGAGATCAAATTTTTCCGAGAATTCATCGGGAAAGGAAGGAGCGCGAAAGGGACGGGCGCAAGGGTGAAATTTTTTCCTCGAGTAAGACAGAGACTAGACGAGACGAGCAGCGGTATCCAGAGCCTCGAGGGTAATCGACCTCCACTCTTGAGCACCTCTCGGATCTCAGCCGCTAATTAAGACTTTTTACTTTTTCCTTTGGTAAGTCTCTTCTATCTTCTCGAGTGTCTCGCCTCGTGGTACGTTCGCATAGGTAGCCGAGCTACGACGACAACCGGCCTTGGTTACGAATGCAACTCGTGAAAAGCCTTCGACCGGGATAGCGTGAGCACAGCTGCCGGAAACGAGGATAAGGGAGACGAGCCCGTGGGATAAGATCAAATCCCTGGTAACGGGCAAATTTTAATTATATCCCGACATCGAGTTGGCAACGTTCCTTCGTTTTTAATAAAACTTTGATGAAAAAATACGACTGCCAGGACGGAGGCCAAGAAGCCGTGGAATTTTACGGTTTATTATTTCCGAGCCCGATGACGAATCGTCGAGTATCGTGAATTTTGAAAGGGAAAATTCTACCCTTCTCCCTGTAGAATAATGGCCTAACCGCGGAATCGAACGGTAACATCCTTCGCGTGGATCGTCCTCGAACCGATAGCAATTTCGATATCGAATCGAGATTCTAAATTACGCGTATAAATCTCCACGAGCTGCGTGATGGTTCGCTGGGCTGGGAAAGCGGAGGGTTAAAGCCTTCGTTCGAATGACGGAAACTTGAATCAGGATCAAAGATATGTAAAAAAGAATAGAGCGAAAAAAGAGGCGCGATTAAAGAGAACGAAATAGGAAAGTT